TCATTTAATAATAGTATTGGAAATGTTTATAATAAAATGCATCGTTATGGTGATGCACTTCTTCATTTTAAACGTGCATTAGAATGTCAACAAGAATATTTACCAACAACACATCCATCATTTGCGTACTTTATAATAATATTGGTTGAATGTATTATCGACAAGAACAATATGCTGATGCATTACCATGTTATTTAAAAAGTCTTGAAATTGAATTAATGTGTTTACCAGAAAATCATCCAACTATTGCTGTTACACATTTTAATATTGCAACAACATATACAGGTTTAGGAAGACTTGATGAAGCTATTGTATCAACAGAAAGATCGATTGAACAATTATTAAAAACTTTACCACCTAATCATTCTGAAGGTATTGAAAATCGATCTTACATTGATAAAATTAAACGTAAGAAAATCCTCAAGGGACTTTTTGATACAAATACCACGAACTTTTAGGCAATTTCTTTTATTTTCAATTGTGAGTGTCTGCTATTTGCCTTTTTTTAATGATTTGATAAACTATTAGCTTGATACATAAATCCTGCACGTTCTTTGTGTTTTTTAGACAAATTTGAGGCTTTATATCTCATGATTGAAAAGAGATAGAGGTCTGAAATTTTTAATGTAGATAGAACTCCTAGAAATGTATGTATACTAAAATTTTCAGACCTCTATCACTTTCCAAGCACGAGATATAAAGCCTCAAATTTGCCTAAAAAACAAAAAAACGTGCAGAACTTATGTACCAACCTAATAGATTTAATTTGTTTTTGATTGAAAAAATGTATATATTAAATTCAAAGAATAGAACTCACTGACCATGATCAGTTTGTTACGTTTTACAAATCTGCAATTTTGTTAACGACAACAGCAAAATGAAGCAGAATCTGGTATTTAAAAAGACATACAAAACAACAATGAACAGTAGGTATGCTAGCATTATCTCTGACTGTTTTACTCGCCAAAATTAGCAAAACTTTACGGCTAATTATGAAGAATGCTTAAAAAATTGAATAACACTTAAACATGCGTGTTGATAAATAAAATCGATCTCTCATTACAGCTTAGATGAGAAACTCAGTATACTTTTCATCATTTAAAATCATATTTTATCCTACTCAAAATATTTTCACTTAATTTGTGCATAACAATAACATCAACGGAATTAAAAGGAGCTTCAAATATATTTCAGAGTTAAAATACCAGTTGTTCTACTCTTATAATAAGGTATTTCTTTAAAAACTATGTAGAAGTAAATAAATCTTCATGCTTGTTTTTCGATATCGTCCGTAATATATATGTTGAATTATTTTCATAAACAAAAGAACTTGCTTTATTCATAATATCACACTTTCTTTTTCTACAAAAACAAGGTTATATTCAACATGACTAAATTAAAAAACAATATAAGTTACATCAGAACTTTGACTAGCGTTAAAGACAAACGAACAAACATTGGATATCAGCAAGTCATACACATGCATGTGAAAAAAAATAGAAAAATGACAAGAAAAATCGATTAAATAACAAAAATTTTCTACAAGACTTTGTAAAAAATAAACAAATGAGACAATGAATAAATGAGTTCACATTGATTTATCACATTCTTATACACTTTTTTTCTTTTTACTATTGGATGGTTTCAGTTTATTGTAATAATCACAATGCAGTTTTTCATAAACACCTTCAATAAAATAACCAAAGTTATTTTTCTTTCCATAATCTTGTTCGAGATGAGTTATTATCAAAAAAGACAAATCGGCATGATCTAAATGAAAAGATAATGTCATACAAGGTAAACTGAGTAACTTGTTGAATTCAATTCCAACTTACCTCGTAGTTTTTTCGCTAACATTGTTTCTATCATTGGACGGCCCACATAAGCTTTTGTCTTCGTTAGTACCAATGCTAGAAAGAAAAATCATACAATAGTGTATACAACATTATGATGACTAGTCACTCACTTGGAAGATCACAAAAAAAAAATACCTCTATCGTCAATTCGATTTTTTTCACATGGATAAGGACCATATATTGGCGCTACAAGAATATCAATTGATAAAAAATATTCGTGATTAAATCGTGCACACAACCCATCGCCAACGACTTTATTAAACCCAACATCACAAATAATCTAAAATATTTTAGACAATATTTATAATTAATAATAATCACGAATTAGATTGGAAAGCTTTGTATTTGTTTGACTTTATTACAGGAGTCAAGTATTGTACTTACTTCAGTAGCCTTTTTAAAATTATCTTCGTGTACGAGTATATCAACGTCCATCGTGTTGCGGACTACTTTATGAAATATAAAGCATATCCGCCGACGATGAAGTACCGAATCTTATTGTTGTAGAATTTTGTACAGAATAAATTGCATGTTCTTCGTAAAAGTCCTTGGTCGTCGTTAAAATGCATAGCATTCAAAAATATATCTTTGAATGATAAAGACGTCATTTTATTAATAAAATGAAATACAATATAATTTGCTCAATGAATTTATTCGAGTGATAATTGCATAGACAAAAATCGCCTAATTAGTCTGATTCTTGGTCAGTACTGAAGAGAGAAGTCAATACGATTGATATTAAACGTGACACAATCAATGAAGTAACAAAAAGATGGTGCTAGTTGATATGATCGTTATAATTTTTTATTTATGTCACTACCATCCATTTAAACATTAGAGTTGTTAAGTAGTTAGAGTGTAAAATATTATATACTAGCGAGAACCCATGCATATTGCACGACTGTTTTGTCCTTTAATGTATGCCCTCAGACATTTAACTTTTCATCCGGTAAAATACATACAGACACTCGATATTATGTATATAGATAGGTTGCCCTACGACCTCATACTCTCATATCGCACATATTTTTATAGTCCATGCAGCCTTCGGCCTTGTAGCCTTATATTCCTTGTAGCCTTATCTCCCTATTGCCTTACTCCCTTCAGGGCCTATGCGTATCACCGTATAATAGCCCTTGGGGATCTATGGATACCCCCATAGGATAGCCCTTGAGGACCTATGGTGCCCCCATATTATAGCCCTTGAGGATCTATGGGTACCCCGTAGGATAGCCCTTCAGGACCTATAAGTACCCCATATAATGTCCCTAGAGATCTTTCCTTATAGCCTTATGTGACCTTTAACCTTTGACCCGGCACAGAGAAACAGACAGACAGACAGACACTGAACATTATATATATAGATTTCTTATTGACGCATAACTTTCGGCGACATCTTTGTTTGTCACTCAGCTGTTTTACTTAATTGCATCCAATCCAATGTGTATGTGGCTACCTAAACATTATCCTTCATTTTAATATTATTAGAGCACATAATTCAGAGCAGAAGATGGCAAGTTCTACAACCAACAATACTAATAATATGCCTAAAAGCAAAGTTCCTGGTTCCATCCCTCAAAATGATCGATTTCTTGAGTATACTAATAAATATTTTATTTTCTTTCATTTTTTTAGTCTTCTGTTCTCTAGATATGTTTCAAAGACATCGATTTTGGTTGATGGAACATCAACAATCAATACTTCTCATGATTTAGTTCATTCTCAACAATTAATCGCACGTATAAATAAACTTCATAAAACTGAACATCTTTGTGATGGATGGGTGTGGGTCTGGGCGGGTGTGGTGGGTGTTGGTTGAGTGTGGGTGGGTGTGGATGTGGGTGGGTGTGGGTGTGGGTGTGGATGTGAGTGTGATGAGAAGATCTACAACCACACCCACACCCACATCCCACACCCACACCCACACCCCACACCCACACCCACACCCACACCCACACCCACACCCCCACCCCCCACACCCACATCCACACCCACACCCACACCCACACACACCCTCACACCCACACCCGCACCCACACCCACACCCACACCCCACACCC